CTGTGTACAGTTGACGGCGACTGAAGTCCCAAACAGACATCAAATGAGAACAATAAGGGCTCATTTCGCCGCAAGTAAATATTTAACGCTTTATTATATGTACAATTTGGTAACGACGAAGTCTCCCCAGGAACGACGTCCAGTGACGCTCGATCGAATGTGACTGACATGAATGACGAACGACAGGACGAGTTTTCACACGAGCGTGAGGGTCTCAGACGGATGTGAATTACGGTAGTCAATCTTGACTGAGTATCTGCTCCTGTTACACAGCGTTCAGCAGCCAAATCGTTTTCAACTTTTCATTATTTTAGAAAATTTATAAAATTTGTTTTCATCGGTGTTTTTATTCAAATATTTCGGTTTGCGAAGGATTGGAGATTGTCTTACCCTGCCTTCATTTGTGACCTTATTCCGATAATAGTTGGTTCAGTAACGGGAGAACTTGGCAAAAGTAGCTAAAAAATTTATTTCTAGTGGTGCTGAGTTCTTATTGTTCAGTGGCGACCTCATGAAAGTGTCGTGGTTTCCTGTTGGTAGTTTCAAAGGTTTTTTTGTCACCGTTTTTGTCTGCGGTGGCAGTTCGTGACTCCTAGTGGATACAGCTCATCGTTTTCTATGCTATGTGTTGATTAGTTTCCGTTGGATTTTTCGTGAAATTTTTCTGATGTAAATTGACAACGTAGGTATCTTGAACGGAGGGCAAATATGGCAAGTGCTCCACAAATTACAAAGAAAAAGAAGGCCGTGTTGGACGGAGTGTTCAAGGCTGAGTTGAACAACTTCCTCATGAAAGAGCTTGCTGAGGATGGATACTCAGGCGTCGAGGTGAGTTTTGCCATCTAACTACTTTTTTATGACCGTGGGGGCTGCTCCTTTTTTCGGTTTTCGTTTCTTCTTTTTTCGAACCCTTGTGGAGCTCAAAAGTCTTGAAGGTGCGTCGCACTCCTGCTCGTGCTGAGGTCATCATCATGGCTACTCGCACTCAGTCCGTTCTTGGAGAGCGTGGACGCCGCATTAAGGAATTGACATCTGTCGTCCAGAAACGTTTCGGATTCGAAGAAGGATCTGTCGAGGTTGGTTGTTTTCTTTTGAGTGATTTTCTTCGTTTGGGTTTTTCTTTTTATCTCAGCATCATTATTTGATAGACGAAGCTTTTGTCTTGTGTATATCAAATCAACTAGATATATTGTGTATAGCAAAGCTATACTCGAACTGTATAATTTTGGAAGGGGCGCTTTGTATTCAGACTGTATGAGTTTGGTAAGGGCGCTCTTCCAGTAAAGTGCAGATCTGTTGTAATGGTTCTTGCAAAGTACGTCTTTACAATCTTGTAGACTGACTCCTTTAAGTCTTCGAAATGTTAAAAAGCTTCGTTTATACGCCATTTTCTCATTTTTTTTTGGTATTGGGAGGCATTTAGTGCAAGTAGATGAAAAGAAACGATGGTGAGCATAGGGTGAGCATTCTCCGTAAGCGTAGGATTAGGAGCTCTAAAGTGAATGAACCATTCCCCTATGGCAAGCCATTGTATAACGCTATGCTGTTCACAATAGGTGGCTAACACCCTAGTTTCCGGAAAATGGAGTGTGCCTTCATTTCGAGCGCCGCGAATCTTCCTTTCTCAGTTTACTGTTACGTGTTTTGTTTGTTCTTCTCCATATTATTAGCAGCACTAGGTGTTTGTGAACCAATTGGGAGACTTAACTCCTGGGAGAGCTTAACTAACTGTGCAAAGGACAGAAAAATTGTCGCTGTGTACGACCAACTTTTCGCGCGCATTGACACCTGCGATCCTGCAAGGTGTGCTATTCCCAGAAACTAGGGTACTTTTTTCAACGTTCATCCTTAAGGAGAATGCTCATCTTGCTCTGAATGGTTTGGGTGCTATTTCCTCCACTATTCCAATGCGATACGTATCGATTTTCCGCACTTTCTGCATTTCTGCAGATTCCGCACTTCTTCACTTTCGGCATTTCTGCATTTCTTCAAATCGATACGTATCTATTGCTTTTCGTCATTTCTGCA